AGGCTGCTCCGTCCCCCCAGGATGCCCGCCCGGCCCCGCATCCCCTGCACCCTGCCTCCCTCCCTGCACCCCCGGCCCCGTGTCCTTACCGCGGGTGCGGTACGGTGCGGTGTGGTGCGGTGCGGTGCGGGCTCCCAGCCCTGCTCCTGCCGAGCGCGCGGAAATGGCGGAGTGTCGGCGCCGTGACGCAGCCGCCGCGTGTCTCGCACCAAGGGCCCTGCTCCGCCCGCCCGCCGCGGGGACCCGGCACAGCCCGTCCGGCGGGGATGCTGCTGCCCACCCCCAAAGAGGACATGGCATGTGTGTTTCCCACGGGCTCCCCCGAGCCTCTTTGTCCTCCCACGCGGCCCCGCACCCCGGGGGATCACCCGGGGGCCCGCGGTGCCCAGCCGCCCGCACAGCGCACCTTGGACCCCGGGCTGGTGATAGCCCCCCTGCTTCCTCCCTCCCGGGCTGTGATCGGGGAGGAAGGGCCATAAAGGACTGGCTGCCAGCTACTGAAATGGGAAGGGCAGAGGTAGCAGCCCTCTGAAAATGCGGCGCGGGAGCGCGGCTGACTGGTGCTGAGCGCAGCGTCTCCAGCTCTGCAGGATGTGATCACATCGCGGGGCTGGTTTGTGCTCAGTGCCCATAGAAAAGGTAAGGGTTAGAGACTGAGAGTTTATCCGTACTTGGGATTCAGCGGTTAGTCCACAGAAGCAGCTGTAACGCCACCGGTGCAAACATCCCAAGGTCGAGAAGGAAGGAGCAGTGCAAACCAGGGGCCGCCTTGTTTGTTTGAGCCCATTCTCAGAGCCACCTGTGGGTGCAAACACGGCTGTGTCTGTCTGATAGCACTGGCTCCACTGAGGGAATCAAGGCAGATCCCGAACACGGACAAGCCTTCACTTCAAATAAAAGTTCAAATCTTTACCCCAGGTGGCTGCTTCACATTCCTACTTGCAGAGAGCACACTTCTCTGAGGTTGAATTTAACCTTGAAAGCCTTAATAGGCTTTTTCTTTCTTTCTTTGCAATACCAGTAGTTTGGAGGTAAGGTTAGTAGAGGGATGTGTGGCCTCAGCTGCCTAAAATATTTTCCTTTCCATAGGAAACTGTCTATACTCAAAGTAAATCCAAGTTTTGATTTTTAGAAATGGTAAAATTAGAGTAATATTAGACTGAATATTGTGTGTGTCACCGCAAATGACTGAGGATGGGATTTTAATAAATGATCAATATTAGCTTAAGTCTCCTCTTGACTTCAATAGGAGCTTTTTTAAGCTAGACTGATTGAATCTTTTTGCTCATGGCCACTTAGGCTCCAAAGATGTAGCTAAGGAGAACTGATTAAACTATAAAGCGTGTTCACAGAGGCAGATTACACATCCATGTTTTTGTGCTCTTCGGTGGCATTCCTATTCATACATTGCTGCTCCCTGTGTGGCGCCTGCCCAAACCTGCAGCCTACAGACCAAGTCCAGCCTGCACGGTCATGTTATCCTCCCGGTGGGGCTCCTCAGGGGTTGGAAATTTGGCAGCAGGAGAGCAGTGGCAGCATTAATTGACACAGCTTCCAGAGTGGTGGTAATTAACACTGCCACCACTCTCCCACCAAATTTTGGGGTATATGGAGAGCCTCAGAGGACAGAGCCCCATGTTCCAGTGGATGGGCTTACTCCACAGTCAGTCTGGCACACGGAGTTGGGCCAGCACACTGGCTCCAGCCGTGGTCGGATCCAGCTCACCGGAACACCCCACAGTCAGATCTAGTGTGCAGGACTGGGTTGGGAAAGTGGGGTGCTTTGTGGCTGGATCCAGCACACCAGATCAGACCTGTGGGCTAATTCCACACTGGATCAGGTCTGTGGTCTGATCCCATCCATTGACTGACCCTGTGAGACTCATCCGGTCCATGTGGCTGAAAGGTTGAGCAGCACTGCTTACAATGATGGCCAGCCAGTTCCACATGCTTCTTACCTAGGAGGATTACCTAGTTTCTAGATCCAGCATCAGAGCAGCTAACTTCCTCTAAAGAGCCAAATAAGTCAGAGATGATCCTGGTGGTGAGTAAAATATTGGAAAGATCTGGATCCATAGCTACAGTGTGGAGGGGGCTAGATCCAGTGAAGGACTTTGGCCCCTGGAGTTGAATCCAGAACCTTGAGTGAGGTTCTCAGGTCCCTGGTCAGTGTGCATACCTTGGAATTGGATTTAGGTGCCTTGGAATAGGATCTAAAGGCACCAGCAGAGCAACAGGACTGCCTGAAGTCATGGTGTTCACTGCAGCCATCTAGACTTAGCCAACAGGAAAAGCTGAGGACTGGGTGAATCTTAAATCTTGTCTCTCGCACACCTTGCTCCAAGTGGCACCTCTGTACACTTGGGACCTATGCCCCTGATCTGTCTCCTGAAGACAAGTGCCTTTTCTTTGAAATAACTGAGCAGGATTCATTTTTTTTAAACAGCCCCTGAAGGAAGAGGAGTTGGTTAGGGTGGTGTGCCTTTCTGCATACTAACCTAATGGGCATCTATAATGTGGGAAACCCAATTAAAATCCTCCACTCTGTCTGTTGGCAACCAATATCTCCCACCAACCAGGAGAACCCAGTTAGAGGTTACTCTGAAGTTGCTCCTTGCTGCTAGGAATGTTTCTGTATTTTACATGAAGCAGTCCTGGGAACAGGGACCAGAATCCAAGATCTGCCTCCCGCTAAGTTTCTTAATGAGTTGTGCTACCTCATATGGCCCAATGCACAGTGGCTGTCTTTGTACCATGATACAGGTTCAACAGGAGGAGCGGAGAGTTCTCAGCCTGCAGAATAGCTGACAGCCTGGTGGTTAGGTGATCATATGGAAGACATGGTTTTTAATCCCTCCTACATCTGAAGAGAATTGAACCTGGATTTCTCATTTTCTGGTGAGGTGTTTTTAACTCCTGCCATTATGGCATACAAGAGGCCATGACATGAACCATGATGACAATATTTTTTAGAACTGGTAGCCAGCACTGCATTGATTCTGTCAATGCGTGTTCAATATGCACAGAGATTCCTTACCATATCTAGCTCCCCAGGTGCCCTGAGCAAAAGAATGCCTAGTTTTGGGGCTGATGCATGATAGGCACTGAGCTGACAGGCAGTTCTGGGCATATACAAAAGCAGAAGTAACAGGCAGCCAGGGTCAAAATGTGTGGCATGTATGAGTTTTTGGTTGTAGCCGTGTTGATCTAAGGACATGGGCACTCAGAACCTTGCCTGGCATATATGGGTGTTTCCAAGGTCAGATGGCAGTGGAGTGGGGTTTCAAGTTTGGTAGAATTTAGACACTTAAGTTCTTAAAGTCTACAATAGACACTGAGGCTATGCATAAAATTTTGTTTTCACTGAAGTTAATTGATAAAACTTCTAATTGACATCTGTGAAGCCATGATTTTATCCTCTTGTCTTCAGATTGCAAAACTGAGTGAATTTGACTTGGAAGTAATGAAAGACTACATGCAACCCTGCAACACCCTATGGGGAGAATCACTTTAATCTCAATTAAAGTGATAATACAAAGTATGGGTTTATTTCCATTTTTTAATGTGCTCTTTTAGGAACTTGAATATTACTAATTTCCTTTATCATCTCTTCTTTTTCATTATTTCCCAAATAACTGATTTTTCCTTCTGTTTCTCAGAGAACACCATCCAAATGGATTTTCCTTTCTTGACTATGCTTTTGTCATAAGCCTCACTGAAAATGTCAATGTCATCAGTATAATTCTGGGAAGTACAGTTTAATTAGTTATTCTGCTGGCTGGGTGATTATCCTTGCAGCAGCAAAACAAACTGAATAGCAGACCAGCATAAACTGTGCCAATTTTCCTACTTTTTCCACAGTTTTAAAAATTTCTCAGTGGAATGGCATATTTCAAAAAATGTGTATAGGATTCACAGGATACTCCAAAGCCAGCATACAGCATTTTAATACAGGTTAAATTTGGAGTCTGAACTGTTTGTTTGCATCTTTTTCAATCATTTGAGCTATCAATTATGATCTTTATTTAGAATCTTACATGCATAGTTTACCAAATCAGTTCTTCTGGCAAATATGACCAGTGTTAGTTCATACCTCTTGACTACATATAGGTTTCTTATGGAGTTTGTTCTGGTTGTTCTTTACAAGATCTTATTCCATTTATTTTCTTTATAGGTCAGTGGCCTAGGACTCAGGAGACCTGGATTCTATTCCTAGCTTTGCAACTAAGCAAGTTGGTTCGCTTCCCTGTGCCTTTGTTTCCTTTACCTGTTTTCCTTTCCTTTATCTGTCTTGTCTATTTAGATGGTAAGCTATTTGAGACACACTAATCATTCGCAAATTCTAAGTCAGCCAACAAATGCATTTCCAGCAAAAATAGTTGATATAGGGTATGTTTACTTTTCTAATATCCTATCTGTTGTGAATGGAACCAAAAATTACAACACAGTCAAACTACATACCTGGTTAACACGTATTAAAAAATGGAGCAGATAGATTTGCAGTTTTCCAAGAACTGAAATGCATATTACTCTGCACAGCTCAGTCAAAAAAATGGTACTTCATGGCTTTTATGTTACTTAGATGCAATCACCATGTGCCACAAAATGCTGCCTATCCGGTATATGAGAGTGGTTTGCAGCTCCTACTGAGCTGTATTCTCACAGGCAATAGTTGAGATAAATAAAATGAATAATATTTCTACTTTAAAAGATTAACATTTTATAAATTACTTGGATTTGTTAGGAAAAGAAAAATATTACCTATGGTGTAATGAAATCTACTCTCAGAT